GAGTCCCAGGCGGGGCTCAGTCCGTGGCCTCTGGGGCTGCCCGTGTCGCTCCCGGAGGGCCGAGGAGCCACTGCCCCCTCCGAGGGGCATGGCCGAGCCCTGCGGCCTCCGCCCCACCCAGCCCTTCCGGCTCCTCCCTGGAGCCAGGCAGAACTGCGTCCACGTGGGCCGCCGTGGGGGAGAAGGCGCTTTCTGGGGGCGCCCTGGCCGGCTGGGCCTTCACGGAGGCAGGAGCTGCGGCCGGACAGCGCGGGAGGACAGGGGAGGAGAGGACCCTGCGGGCTGGGCTGGGCCTGGGGTCCTGCCTTGGGGCTCAGCCGTCCTTGAGTCAGTCACCCCGGGGGGCAGCGGCTTCTGGATGTGGCTGGGTTGTTTGCTTGTTTTCTGGGCTTTTTGTTGAGAAAGGAGCTTGCTCTGTCATCCGGGCTGGAGCACAGTGGCAAAATCCGGCCTGCCACAGCCTCTACTTCTTGGCCTCAAGCGATCCTCCTGCCTCAGCCTCCCGAATAGCTAGGACTACAGGTATGTACCACCATGCCGGGATAATTTTTTGATTCTGATCTGACTTTTCATAGTTGAGGTCTCACTCTGCTGCCCAACCTGGTCTCAAACCAGGGGCTCAAGCGATCCTCCCGCCTCAGCCCCCCAAACTGCTGGGGTTGCAGGTGTGAACTGCCACGCCTGGCCGGAACATGCTTTTCTGAGCAGCAACACGACGCAGCCTGGCCTGAGGGGCCTTGAGTCTGAGCAGCCTTTGGCTGGGACTCACCCCGGCCCATGCTACCACCAGCGAATAAGTGGAGGGCCTGGGCGTGACCAAGCCTGCCCAAGTGTCTGCAGATACGCGGCTCAGCCCTCCCCAGAGAGGTCCCTGGCTCTCCCCCTCCCCGCAAGCCAGTGGGTGAGCAAGGAGGGTCCCTGGGCTGCGGGAGGGTGGCATGGGGGAAGAAGCCATCCCTGGCAGGCCTGTTCCCCCTGGGGGTGGCCCCTTCGCCCAGGCAGGCCCGTGGGAGCACCTGTCCCCTGGAGGCAGCAGCTGGTTCCGGACATGCACCTGACTCAGAAGAGCCAGTCAGAGGCTACGCCAGGCTGGCCTGGTTGTCCCCCTCTCTTTTTGGAATGGGGACCCTGAAAGGCCATTGGCTTGGAGCTGCTGTGAGGTGGGACAGCTAGCATTGCTTAGGGAGGGAGGGAGCGTTCAGTCTGGGCGTGGTGGCTCTGCAATCCCAGCACTTTGGGAGGCTGAGGCGGGAGGATCACTTGAGCCCAAGTTTGAGACCAGCCTGGGCCACATAGTGAGAACTCGTGGCTGCAAAAAATAAAGAGGTTAGTCCGGTGTGGTGGCACACACCTGTAGTCCCAGCTACTCAGGAGGCCGAGGCAGGAGGCCGAGGCTGCGGTGGCCGTGAATGTGTCACTGCACTCCAGCCTGGGCAACAGAGTGTGACTCTGAGTCAAAAAAATCCTCTCTCTGCGACTCGCTCTGAAACGCCTTTCTGCAGCAAGCCAAGGACCTGCGGAACAATTACAGCCTACCCACCCGGCATCACGGCCGCTGTCTTACCACTGTGAGGCGAGAACCTGTCTGAACAGAACCTGCCTGGACAGAAGCTGAGAGGAGGAGGGGGGAGGGCCTTGAGCACAGCGTGAGCTCTTGGATCCAGCTGGACCTGAAACCCACCAGCCTACAATGTCCAGATCTGTGATCCTGTGCACGCCCCCTTTTGTGCACAGCCTGAAGCTGGGTTTGGTCGCTGGCAGCCGGGGTCACAGAGCCGCGGGCACTGCAGGCAGCAGGAGGAGGAGGCACAGAGCCGTGCGCCTCATGGGGTGCCTGATGGGGACAGCGGGGACAGCCACTCACCGGACCATGGTATTCAGCACCCCGAGGCGGCCACCAGCAAGCAGCTCGAAAGTCGCCATGAAGGGTCTCAGCAGCGTCCTGTGCTCATGCCCGAGGGTGTTGCCCGCCAGGCCCAGGACGAACCATGTCCCCTGGAACTGCAGGGGCTGGTGGTGGGCAGGGTCGGGAGACCCCCACCCGCTCCGGCAGCCCAGGGCCCTTGGGCTGGGCCAGCACCGGGAACCAGAGCTGGCCCTGGGTCTAGCAAGAACTGGGGGGGCCTAGCCGGGGACCTCAGCCTCCCTGCACGTGCCTCGGTTTTCCGGCACCTGCGGAGGGAGTGGTGCCAGGGGCCACAGGAGGGAACGGGTGGCCCAGGAGAGTCTGTCCCGGGTCCCCATCGGTGGAGGTCAGAGGGCCGGCCCTAGTCAGAGCAGGACGGCCCTCCTAGGCTCTCAGTGGCGTCCCGGGCTGTGCGCCCTCCTCTCTTCTGCACTCGAACCCCTGCTGGCTGCCTCTCCTTTCAGCGAGAATCCTGTACCTGCTTCCCTTGGAAGCTCGGCCCCGGATTCGGCCCCGGAACTGGCTGAGAAGTCTGGCCCTGCAGGACTCTCGGCAGGGTGAGCAACAGCCAGAGGACACGCCGGGGCCCCATCCTGGCCTGGGGACCAGTGGCCGGCAGTGGCGGGGCGGGGCTGACTCAGAGACTCGCCCCCCAGCCCACGGGCTGCCCCTCCCTCCTCAGCTCCGGCCCACCCACCTGGCGGCGCCTGGGCCCAGCCAAGCGAGTGGGGTGCTGGCTCACCTGGCCTGGCCTCCCGAGCCCTGAGGCTCTGCACCCCGGCCCCTTCCAAGCGCCCCCCACGGGCCGTTGCGGGCGCCCACGCAGCCCTGCCCCCCGTGCCGTGTCCCGGGCAGAGAGCGTGACCTTCCCTGGTCGGCGTGCTGCTGGACCCAAGCCTGGGCGTCCCACCTGTGAAGCCTGCGCCTGCCAGCCCCAGGGCGCCGACAGACTGAACGCTGCGGGGCTGGGGACCCAGGGAGCGGGGACAGGGCACAGGCCCTGAGGCCACAGGAGCGGGCGGACGCGGAACGGGTGAGGAGGGAGGCGGCCCTGGACAGCTGGCGCTGGGTGAGGATGGCCCAGGGGCGTTTCAAGGGGATCGGCTGTCCAGGAGGGAGGGCGGGGTTGGGGCCCTTGGTGGGAGGAGACACCCCACGCCGGGCCTGCCTGGAAGGG